AGCCATTGCTTATTGACTTAGGGACTTTATGATATCATGAAAACTACTAGTAAACTAACATGTTGATTCAAATCTGACGAGACATAAAGGGAAAAAGTCATAGCAAATACAGCAAAGATGCATGGCTTTTCCTTGGGAACGGTCCAACACACAAGGCTCACATTTCCTGCATTGCTATTTGATCGTTCACATTTCTTGCATTGCTATAACAGCATCAGCATTTCGATTTCAGCTTCTTCCCAATTCACCGTATTCGCCAGATTTCTCCCAAAATGACTTTGTTTAAAAAACTGAAATGATATTTACGTATTCATGTTATAGAGGCGATGATGATTTGAAGATATCGTTCAAGAATGGTTTGAAGTCTGTGAAAAAAATATTTCTGCTGTAATCCAGGTCTTAAAGGATCACTGTGCTGGATGCATTGAAATCAAGGAGAGCTATGTTAAAATTTGAGAAAGTCAATTCAGACATCTATCTTGAACAACTGTTTTAGGTTTTTAACTAACTAAAGGCACCCGTATTTCTATATATTCTCTATTGCCCTCTTCATTATTGTGTAGTCTGCAAATTTGGTGGTATTTTAATTCTCATTTTCTTCCGCAAAATCTATTTAGCTGCTTTTCCACACTTTCCCCAGCTGTATAATATACCCATAATTAATTTGTACATGTACCTCAGCACAAGAATTATTGTTACGTTACATTGACTTACTGGTAATAATGCCGTCTGATTTGTCTTCCTCAGTTCTGGGCTAGTTTTGGGATATATGGATTACTTCCGTTGAGAACGTTAAACTAAGAGCTTCGAATGGGACAACTATCTCTCCAATGACATACTACCTTTATCATTACTATTTTCATTTGTCTTCATGATGTATAATTTCGCCAGTTTGGGTTCAGAAATTCCAATCAAACTAGTAACACAAGAAGATTTTCAGAAATATCATAAAAAATATATAAAAAATTATCTGGATTTCCAAATTCTGTTATTTATTTTCATAGTTATAACCAAATGAAGTTAGTTCAGTGACGTTTTATAATTTTAATATTTCTTATACATTTTTACAAATTTAGCTACCATAATTATGTATTCAGTAATTAAGCATGAAACATGCGCTTAATGTTTTACGTCTTGCCTTATTATATGGCATTTTGATGAAGCCCCAGCCCTGTCAATGGCCGGGTGTTTAAAACTGCTAAATACTGGTAGTTCAACCCACGTAGAGTGAACTAGGTGAACGAGCTTGGCTGCATGACTGTTTTTCGCAGTTTTCTCCATATATGACGTGGATAGCATATTTGTCTATAGAAAATCCTCCACGAAACCACCGCTTGTCTTAGTCAAATAGCCCTTGTGTGTTTTGTCACATTCAAATAACTCTTATGTAACCCTTTGCTTTATATTAATATTAGAAGTTTGTTAGGCAGCTTATAATTCCTTGAACAGGATGAAGTTTAGGAAAGTATTTAATGCCAGACTGGAAATAGCACCTGGATCTTAATTCTGCGGTTGCATGAGGATCCTAGCTGTAGATAGTATTCCAGATTAAATACAATATCAGAGTACTATTTAACTGTGGCTCAAAATATTCATGATAGATCAAATATACCGATGTATTTTTATCAAAATAAAACTTAATTTGCGTAAATTTAAATAATTTGACTTAATGATATCTGAAGAGATTTATTCAACATTTAGGTTACTTTGCGTAGTGAAGCATTAAGTTTTCGGAGTGAGACACATGAAAAATAAGTTATGCTTTCGCCAAGGTTTGAACCACCGATCTTCGGAAGCTAGCCTAATGTGATACCAGTTTCACCACTACAGCATGCACGGGGTAAGAGCGTGTTTTTTTATTGTATTTCAATAATAAAGGAAAATGACTCGTTTTTACATTTATTATTACTGTAACCTTGCAGTCCCTCATAAGAATTGAATTTCATACCCTTGGATAAAAGCTAGCTTTTCAGAAAACAATATGACTATTCTATTGTGATGTAGAACCCCTTTCTGGAAAACTCTGGCCATCTGTTTTAACGGCTTTGATTTCTGTATTTGCTTTCTGTATTGTTTCATCATACTTCCATTCAATTGCTGCAGCCATTAATAGTTCCTATGCAATAAAATCTGCATCGGCTTTGATTTCTGTATTTGCTTTCTGTATTGTTTCATCATACTTCCATTCAATTGCTGCAGCCATTAATAGTTCCTATGCAATAAAATCTGCGTCGGCTTTGATTTCTGTATTTGCTTTCTGTATTGTTTCATCATACTTCCATTCAATTGCTGCAGCCATTAACAGTTCCTATGCAATAAAATCTGCATTAAAGATAAATACCTCAACCCCATAGCCTGTATTTAGTTTCTGACTGTCTAAATTTTTTATTTAAGAAGAGTATTAATGGCTATATTATCTTCCTTAACGAATAACTTTACTTCGAATCTTGACACATTATTCTCAGTGAATGTTTTACAGCATTTCATATTGGAGTCGGCCAAATAACTCTCATCAATCATATCATGAGATGTCCATTGTTATCTCTCTAGTAGTTCGTCAGAGAGATACTTTCTGCTCTAGATACGTTTTTAGTGATGAGAGGAAGAAGAAAGGAATATAGTGTGATGCCCATGATAAGCCATTTATTTTCATCCGTTTCAGAGGTTTTATCATTTCTTCAAATAATTTGCATAGGATTTGCAAATGATATCCAAACCTTCATCCGACAGGAAATACCCTTTCTTCTCTATATTTTACGTACTGAAATTTTTTTTAAACGACTAAACCCAACAATCATTTAACCATTTCTTTAAACAGAACATTACCGAGAATGCATTTCAAGGGGCCAATATTACACCAATGGGAAAAGGGATAGACAACTAAAATCATCGACATCTTATCTGGGATTCGAACTCGGCATAAACGGCATGACAACGGGTTCCGCTAAAAACTGTACTACAGAAGGTAACGTAGTTCGAATTATAGTGTTTTTAAAATTTGGGTTATGCTGACATTCACAAGAGTGTGCCAAGGGAAGGGACGTCTTTATGGAAGACATTTCAAGCGAAACTGACTCGTATCCACGTCAAACATGCGAAAAATTATGAAAACTCACATGCAGCCAGTACGTTCGCCAGAATTGGAACTTAGGGCAAACTGCCAGTGTTCAATGACTTTATCACTCGACTGCTGATGCGCAAATTATAGTGCTGTGTATATTTTATTTTCTTGGCTACAAAAAAATAAGAAAATAGCTAGCTATTTTAGAGATATGGAGATATCGATTTTCTTGATACAAAGGACGTTTGGAAGTGTAGCGCATCGATGCTGCAATCTATATTCTGATGAATTTAACTATCTCATACTTCTTTTGCCAACAACTTCATTTAATAAAAGCAACATTTCAATCGTCATCTTTTTTCTTTCTTTCTTTTTTTTTTTTTTCTTTTTTTTTTTTTTTTGGCACATTAGCAATTATAGATTCTCTGTCCAACTATAGATCTTTGAACTATAGATAGAATTATAGATTCAGGATGGTATTTATTTTTGAAATATTTGTAACTTGTTAGAAAAAAGAAGAACCGCATTATCTAATCCAAATTTATTTTTAGAACGCATGTTTTAGCAATGCTTTCCTTTAACAGCTGGATGGTTTCTTCTCTTTTCGCTCCTCGTCTTTTTTAGTAATAGAACAAATTTCTTTAAGTAAGACTGTATGACAAATCCTATTTTAGAAGCGTACATTTAGTCTCCGTATGGGAAAAAGTATTTTACTTTATTTTTTAAAGTTCCTTCTTTTTATCTCATAAAAAAGTAACTATAAAGACTTTTCTTTAAGTAGGATTCAAAAAATCCACTTCCGATCTTAATCGCATCCGGTGCTCTACTAGTTAAGCTATCGAAGTCCAACTACTAGTATTCCAAATTTTTACCTAAAACTTTCTTCTACTTTAGGAGAAAACATATTAGTTATGATCCATATGGGTCATCGATGAGCAATCCAAGTTGTTTTTCCGAAGGTTCGACATTAATGGATGTCATTGCCAAGAAATGGCTTCGGATGGAAATCGATATCCGGACTCTCAGCTTAAGGGCACAGTGAAGAACTTCATCAGTTAAATTACCGGATTTTCGGGGCCACCAAATGCTTCATGAATAAAGTTATTGAAAAAAAATACCCTTCTTTTTGAAATTTTTTTGGCCAAAAATAAAAGGAACATAAAGTATACAAATATAATATGCATTGTTTATACATCGTGGTTTGAGGCTTAGAGTGATTTTCTATTTGTCAGAGGATGTAAAGGTAAAATTAATACTCTTGGTAAAGGTCTTTAACTCTGAATTTATTTTCGATGTCCAATGAAATGCGTGACACTTGAGCGCACTGCTCAGTAGTGTAACCCTACTGATAAACTTGGATCGAATAAAAATCAGAGGTAAGGCTCTAGTCGATTTCCGAGTCAGAAGTCGCTTATAGATGGAAAGGATGAGGTCGTAGAAGGGCAGCATGAAGGCGCGGCCGTGTTCCGCCCGTGTGCGGACGCTTTGTAAGACTTTCTCGGGGGTGCTCTGGTTACACAGATGACTTCCTCCCAAGCTACGGTCCGTGAACTTACACTAAAAGCGTTTCTTGACCTTTCTTCTCCTTTCTCAATTTCTTCCAGAAAAGACTGCACTCGTTGTTCTTAGTTTTCCTTTCAGGAAATATTACGCTCCTATCAACTACATATTATCAAGTTTAAAGCTTGTTAAACGGATGTGAAAACAAACAAGCTTTCTTCGTCTTAAGTAAGACTTACGCTCATCACTGTTGGCGATAGAAATTACATATTAAAGATGATTTTTAATCTAAGCTTGACCCAGATGGCTGCGAACGTCTCGGTTAAGCGTTGCGCTTGGCCGCATTGACCCTTTCGACCGGAACACGCGCGACGCGGCTAGCATGGAGCACCCACGACTCCCACCAGATCCGAGCGGTAGAAGAAGAGCGAAAGAAGTCCCTCATCATATATCAGTGATTGATCTAGTGACCTATATGAGTAGCTGGATTTGGACCAATGGTTGTCTTCTCAGCCGTATAGAGATCTGCATCATCTGATTGAAAAAATTCTGTTTGGGGGATACGTCGAGGGCAGAGCCGGGAGAAATGTGTTAGTCGATTGACTGCCCTAAAGAATATATCAAGAATCGAATTCGAGAGCAAAGAGTTGCTAGTTGCAGGGATGAACGGCCTCATCTTGGGCACGTTACAGTTGGTGTGGCTAGTGACCGGTACTCCTTTAGATTCTGGTCGTTATTTGATCGATAGCAGACCGATTCATTTTATTGATGAACCAGACACAGACTCTCACATTATTAATTCCACTATAATATTAAAAAAGAAAACTAATTCGGCTGGCCCCGTTTACTATGAATCCCGAAAGCCAGAATATGCTATCAATAATCACCATGTACGTCAAGGGGAAGGAGCCGTATGGAAACGACCACATACTACGCCAGCGCAGTCGTTCAGCAATCACAAAGGTTAGTAAGATAAGAATTTCTTTTCTGTTTTAATACACTTAATGCATTTTATGATATCGATAAATACAGAGATTCCCGTAAATCTTAAAAGACTAAAATACTTTAATATAAAGTTAAATTATTTTCAATATAAATTCATTGAATGCTTTAACGATTCTATTTACGCCAATCGTCACTTTTTTAAAAAAATTTAACCGTGTTGAAGGTATGCATGTTTTAGACTTGTGCGTATTTGACACTTTGGCTTAGATGAAAAGATAACTGCTTAAAAAGGCCGAATGAGTAACAGACTTTGACACTGCAATGAAAATGCAGGTCCAAGATATAGAAAGATCTAATGTGAAAGGGGGGAACTAATATGTTATGTTTTAAGGCTTCCTATTTATTGAGATTTTATGTTTCAGGTAATATCCAGTGGAAGAAGTGGGGTCACATTGTGAGCAGCACAACTACAACTCCTAAACCTACAAACAGTAAAATCTCAGTAGTGAGTGGAGAAATTCTTATTAACAATCATAATTCAAACAAACTGCCAAATGCCCGACCGATGAGACCAGCATCCGTAGTATCTATCGTAGATACTTCGCCAGCCCAAAGTACAATTACTGATGTTTTAGGAGATAGAATTAAGCAGCCAGATATCATCAAATCTGCAGCAATAAGTGTCCTTGATGCACCAAGCAATTTAAAGACGACTATAAAGCATAATAAAATAATCGTCATACAAAAACGCACGGATAATCTTCCTCAGAACCAAATTGAAGAAGATATTCAAATAAGCACAGAAAAGCCAACGAAACCGCCAGATATGGGTAATTTTTCTGTTGCTCCAGTGATGGATCCATGGTCAAATATTCCTATACCTTCCAGACCATCGTGGTCATTATCACCAATCAAAGGAGGAATAATCCGGCCAGCTGCTCCTCAAACAGTGGTACCTAATTTACCATTCATGCCTTTTTTAAGCACTCTTATCACACCTTTATTAAGTAAGCCTATCACACCTTCAGCACTTAACTCTGGAATGCAAGGTATAAAAGCAATGCAAGGCTTTTTGAGAAATTCTCTAATGGGTGCAATGTTCTGTTTCTTACCAAGTGCTTTTATTGCACTTTCTCTCACAGCAACGCAAAGGGGTAAGTTCTTTAAAATTTATTTAGATTTCATTTGAAAATATGCATTCTTTAAGAATTTTCATGTAAGTAGTCTTTATTAATGCCAGCTAGTCAATTTTTCGTTATTGTTAAGGGAGCAACATTTTTATATATGAGACATTTAGAGGGAAAGCCAGAAAACAAAACTGGAGAGATTTATCAAATCACGAGCTTAAAGACTTTAAAATCAAAGTTATAATGTAAAGTACATAATTATAAAAATAAGTTGTAAGAAAAAACTGACAGGCTGCAGCGATTAAAGTTATTAAAAATTATATAAATGAATGAATATTTAGCTAGTTACAGATTGTTTTGTGTATAAGAAACCTCCATACTGTTGATATTTTTAACTGCAATATGTTTAACTTAAGACATTTTTCTAGATTAATACAGGAACTTTCATATTTTAGCGAAAAAGATTACACGATAATAAGTCACATCATAAACAAAATTGTAAAAACTCAAATGAAGATGATTTCCTTATTATAATGACTTAGTATATGTAAAGGGACAGTACTGCGTGCTCAAATCTTGCATAAGCATGCCCACGATATGAATATAAACCTGCTATAGAAATTAAAATGCGAGAATGCTAAACCAAAAATGGCAAAAAGGAACAGAAAAGAAAGAATATTGCTGTGTTTGTTATTTTTGACTAAGATTTTGTTATGTTTTCTACACATATTAAAATGTAGCAGATAATATATATGCAGTTTTACACAAAGACATTTAAAACGCAGTATAAAATACTACATATAACAACATTACTTAAACTGAGAAACTTTTTCACTAAATTAAAACAACTTTTCCTTTAAGTCTTCTTTAAATCTTTTAAAATTTCTATGAGCGTCTAATTCTTCAATGTATCATCATATTACTAATACTTAAAAGTTTTTTATTTTTGAAGTGTTTTACATATGATATATAATTCATAATTCTTATGGCGTAAGCGGTGCCCAATAACAGTTATAATATTCAGTTTTCAACGATTTCTTTATTTTTAGCCAAACTCTTTGCTTACAGCTACTAAGAGAGTTAAATCAGAAAGATAAAAAAAACAGCTAAAGTAGAATTTGAAAAATGACATAAAATAGGTATATTTAAAAGAAACCGTTCAAAATTCGTGTTTTGTTTTGCAATTTAAAAAATTCAAAAGATTTGTTTATGTTTATTAGTTCTCGGAAGTTCAAGAAACAAAATTATGATTCATAAATATTTAAGAAAAATGTCGAATATTTTATGAACTGGAATTGTTGGATTAATGGAAACTAAGAACAAACTGATATTAATCTGGAAAGAAAATTTGATATCTTTAAAAATAATGTTCTACATTAAACAAACCATTTAATTGCTTAATTCATTGGGGCATAGCCTAAGACAACTATTTGCATATGGGCAAGAGATCCTTCATTTTCAAGGGATTTTCAAAGACGAACTATGAACGTAATCATTTTGCAGACTGGAAAAGCTTGGAAAATGTTTTTGTAGTCTGCCTGTTTACTAGAATCCTAACCCCCTAGAATCAGCAGCGTTCAGCGGTCTTATCCATCTGGCCACTTCCTAGCCAACATACAAATAATACTCCCGTTTTTATACGTCTGAGATTTCCATTTTGTTCATATTAGTCTTGCAGAGTCATCAAGGTAATCAAGAATTCTGAAATATCAATTGTGCCTTCCTTGGGAATCGAACACAAGGTCTTTCAAATGAAAGTACTAACCACTACACCTAGAATGCGCAGGAGAAGGATGTCTTTAATTTCATGCAATTTTGTTTTGTCTCTTCGAAGATTTCATTCGTATAATTTCAAGAGGTAACAATGATTCCTGTACGCATGTCACGTTCATGTGTAGGTCACGTTTTCCCTGTTACTAATAGGAAAACACTCCAAAGAGGCATTTCTCTTAGCAAAAATTTAGTTGTATATCAGAGAAAAAACAGGTAACAAAAACAAAAGTAAGAAAACTGTAACACATGGGAAATCGCAAGCAGACAGGCAGAAAAGGAAACAGATCCCTTGTTTTGTACTCTCTGATGAGGCATTATATGGATAAGTTAATAAATTCATGATCCCACCACATAAAAGCTTCAAATCAAATTCTATATATAAAAATATAGTTTATAATTTAGTACTCAGAAGAAAATTAAAAAGCAAACACTAATTTTTCATTTGAATTTCAAAGACACAATGTTTCAGAAAAATGCTTATGATTTTTGATTATTTAATAGCTGGTGAATCTGAAAACGGTTTTGTGGATATTAAGAAAGGAATGTTCCAAGTATATCTTAATAGACAAAATATCAAAATCTAACTTTTGAGAGAATTTGGGAGCTTAATTTTACTTTGACAGATTTTAATGTTTCAATTCAATTTGTTTCAATTTGTTTTCATCGTATGTACAAATGAAACAAAAACAAATAGCGCGCTTCGATCATGCGAACAAATATGGTTCGCTTGATTCCAAAACATGTATATGATTTAATTTTTTTTCCACAAAAACATTTTGAATAAATATTTTTAAATTCTGTTGCATAACTTAATAGAGATAGATACTATAAGAAACATTCATTTTAATTAAAATTAACAAAATTTAACTTACAGTTTCTTCGACTTTAAGCCATAACGTGCAACTTGGTGCCATATTTTCATCATTTCAGTGCCACAGCGAAAATGAAAACAAATTATCATAGTCTTAAGCGCGCAAGTGAAAGAGAAAATATATTATCAAGTCTTTCTTGCCTCAAAATAGAACCTGACGTTCAGGATTCAGATAGATAATAAGATTAAACTTGAAAGTTTTAACTTTAAAAAAGCAGACTTATAAAATTTATAAATTAAAATATTAGATAAAAATTAGTAACAGATATAAACTGGGGAAAACACTTCTAAAATCTTTCATTCAAAATTCGTTTGAAAATTACTTCTTTTCGTTTTGGGCTGTTACATAAATAAGCGGTGTTACATAAATAAGCCTGCTTGTTATCTTGAGTTTTGATCACGACGTTGATTAAAAACCAAATTCGATAATTTAATCATTCGCATCTTTCAGAAGAAATGTATTTTTATCGCTTAAATAACTCATTTGTACTGTTAAAACAATTTAAATATACTGAGCTTCATTTTTTGCGATACATATTTAATAATGATATGACTAACGCCTCCCATTTTCATTTTATGATACACATATAATATTATTGTATTTTTAGAGCAAATCAAAAGTACTATTATCATAAAGTTAAGTTGACTTGTAAACTTTATAAAAAGAAATAGTCTTAAAGGTAGACATTTTTTACCTTTCTTTTTACCCCAAAACGGGTATTAGCCACGAAAAGAGATTTTGCGTTGTTTTATTTTAATGCGGTGTTTCACTTTTCTTTCGAGTCCGTTGCCGTTTGGAAAACGTAAGATAAAGTTTGAAAACTTTATTTTCTTAACTGATAAGAGTTTGGAAAAACGTAAGATTTTTTCATATTTAACTATTAATGATGAAAAGACTTAACTATTTAAAAGCAATAGATGCAGTTCTTAAGAATATTAGTTTTTTTTATTTTTTAATCGAACTGATTTAAATAAAAATATATTTAATTAACGATATATCTAACCTAAAGCATTAAATACTTATATGCAATTACATTACATTTATTTCCCTTTTTAAATATACAGAAGATACATAACGTTCCCATGTTGGTCTAAATGCATATTAATCTAATAAATATCCCATAAAATATTTCACTGTTTCATCTGGGCCATCTCTGTAGGTAATCTTCGCTTAGAAACCATATTAAATATTAAAAGAGCCCTTTTAGGGGATTCCTTAAAATACGAATTTTAAAAAGTTAAAATACGAATCCGTTCCCGATTTAAAAAAAAAATTAACTTTATTTTTGTTGACTTATTTATTTTAACGCGAAAGGGGAGAAGCTATTTTTTTAATACCGGTACTACCGTTTCTTGCACTGAATGTTCTTTTGTCAGTTCCAATCTCACAATCGTTCCATTAGATACACTATGCAGATTTCATTATGAAATATAATATTTGATACAAAATAACTTATTAAATAGCTAACGAAGGGCATTAGCTACTATATCTCAGAATAAGAAGTAACAAGAAAGAAACAGTATCGGTATTTATCTATTGTTAACCGTCAAGAAGTAATGAAAAAAACAAGTGTAACCAAAATACTATTCCCAATTTTATTTTTTCTAAATCTCTCCATTTTTGGAAAATATTTTCGGATCATTCCTTTAAGTCATATAACTAAAATTCTTGTTTTAAGTAATAATTTTTAGGTATCTAAAATAACCAGGCTTGGCTAATGTTATTTCAGTATGGCATTTAATAGATAGATACTAAAGGCACAGAAGGGATTTCAATTGTTTTTGAGGTCGAAATTTTAGAATTTTTTTAGTCAAATATCGTGAATATTTCCTAAAAAATAAGAATAAATACTCTATCAGATTTAGACTACTTTAATTAAAACAGCAATTCGCTCTGCTGCGAGCTTTTATCCGATGCCCACTAAGGGCCATGCTATTAAAATACTAGTAGTTCACTGACTACTGGTAGTTTAGCATGGGTTCGAATGCTGAAGAATGGTTAGCTGTATGGAGGCTTTCCTGAGTTTCCACGCGAGTAATCTGAATAGGAACTTATTTTCCCTTAGAAAGGCCATTCCCTCTGGTAAGTAGACCCACCAACGACAGAGCGGTAAAGTCGCTGAACACTGTTAGTTCGGCTCGAGGTTCAAATCACGGTAGCGGGCTGGCCGCATGGGCGTTTTCGTGGTTTTCTGCATATGTAACGTGCATACGAGACAGTTTCCTCTAGTAAGGTCCTCCATGAAGGTATTCCTCCCCTTCGGCAGGTAGCCCTCGAGTGCTTTCATAATCAAATAAACGTAAATCTAAACCCTCTGGTAAGCAGCCCTTATGTGCTTTGTCATAATCGATTAAACAACTAGATTCTACCGTTCTATGTCAG